TAGCGTGCTGGGTTGCCTGGTGGGCTTCACCACACCGTGTTTGCACTCTCTGACATTGGCATCATTCACTCTCGTCACTTGCGTTCACTTATGATCAGGACTGGGGTGCATCTTGCGTCATATGCTCTCTTTCTGTTTCCGTGGCGTGCCGGGTTGCCTGGTGGGCTTCACCACACGGCGTTTGCACTCTCTGACATCGGCGTCATTCACTGTGGGTGTCCTCGGAAGCTAATTCGGACCTCAGAAAAGTCGGCGCTGGCCTGGCAACACCTAGGATGCAAATAGCTTCCTCTCACTCCGTCGTCTAAGCAGGAAGGGAGCAGTCTGGTGACAAGGTCACCTCGTGCAGTCAGTTTCAGCGAGACGCTCGGACGCGTAGGTGAGAGAGAATCTTCTGGCAAGTTGCGGTGAAGCCCTTACCCACGGTGAATGCGCTGACTTCTCGCCACCCAGTCTTGGCGCCGGCCACAAAAGACCGCTCGCCCACCTCAATTTCTCTTTTCTTACACCAACCTCACCTTCAGCTTCTCAAAGCTGTTTCTTTGCCCGTTCTTTACACAAACCACCAAGCTACCTCGTACCTTCCTAGCCTCGCCAACTACCATGGAGGCTACCTGCGACAGTCAGAATGTCCACCCGGCTGTCACCAAATTCCAGGAAATCCTTGAGAAGTGCCACTTCATGCTGCAGAACAACCATCCCGTCGAACTTCAAGGCAACATTCAAGAGCTCTTCGGCGGCACGTTTGGAGCTGAGTACCTCGAGGCTCAGTTGAGCCAGATGCTGCAGCGCTCCGTGAGCGTCTGCGAGAGCTGTGATGGTCAGCACACGCTCGTGCAACTGACCCAAGAGAGCGATGTCTCCCAGGCCTTCACCCCGGACGTTGCTGAGCAACCGACCACCACTCACCATGTCGCTGGTCGAAAGAATCCTCCGCGCCCTATGAATTGCTGGATGCTGTACCGAGACACCAAGCACAAGGAGCTCAAGGATGCGAACCCGCACCTCACCGTCCAGGCGATATGTAAGTTGCCCCGGACAACCACCCTGTCTCACTTGTACCTTTCCTTCTCGTGACCCTTCCCTACTGACATTACACAGCGATCCTTTGCTCCAAGTTCTGGAAGACTCTTCCCGCTACAGAGAAAGACGAGTGGCGAGTGAAGGCTAAGCAGGCGAAGGAGGAGCACCAGCGCACGTACCCGGATTACAAGTACACTCCTCGCAAGCCGGGTCAGAAGAAGAAGCGACAGTCGCGAAAGGCAACTCAAGCCGCCGCCGCCGCCGCCGCTACTACTACTGGCGCCGCCAACATCATTCCCACTCTTGCGGCTGGCGATACCGCCATCACTGCTAACGTTACCGGTGGGCTTGCGGGTGGAGATACTCAGGGCCTCACCATGCAGCCCGCTCAATTCCCTGACATGGAGTCAATGAGGCATGGTCAGCTTGAGGAAGAGTTCGGAGGGGACTTCACCGTCGATTTCTTCGCTGACGAGACCTTCGCCTTCCGTGATGGTGCCGACGAGAGCGCTACCCTCCCGTCTTTCTTCTCGGACCTTTATTAAGGACGGCTCGGACCATGGGCCCACAATGTCAACACTGCTGCCCGCCTAGCCTTCATCGACTAGGCATGACAGAGAAGAGACTCTCCTCTACCACTCTCCACTTTTTCCGGCATCATCAGTCCTTTCCGCTCTAGAGTACCGGTTGCAAACTGGACCCGGGGGATCGCAACAGCGAGATACGTTCTCGAATGACGACAACGCCCCGGCCCTACGACCCAACCAACCCATTTCCGAGCGACTGCCCTACACCCTTCCCTGCACACACCAAATACACCACCGGCTTTTCTTTATCGATCGCGACATTCGCCTGTCCTCTCGTTATTACGGGTCTTCAGCGACTGTCGTCGGCTTCCCCCTCTAATTACGGAACTTTCACAACCTGACAGACCAGCATTCCATGGAGCATTGTGTTTTCTCCTTCCAGACGCTCGAGGAGGACGGCGTGCATGGAGAGCTCATATGGCTCGCTTCCTTAGTTTTCATTGTCTACTGGGTTCGCATCTGGGGCGATCTGGGGCGCTGGGACGGACGGATGGCATGGAATGGTATGGAATGGCATGGCATGGGATGTACCTAGCTCCTAAGGATAGATATCGAATGAAATCACAAAACCAACAAGCCCTTCTTCTTCCTGCTGTGACATTGTTGCTGATGTAGATGCATGAACACCGGTTGAATTATACTATAGTATGACACCACGCTTGGAGAGTGCAGTGTCCGAGGTCTTCGTAGTAGATACAATTGTCCGCGATAGTTCCTCCCGCGTTTGCATCGAACCTAGCTAGGGGTGCATCTAATGTTCCCTCATGACTGCAGCGGTATCTCCAGCGCTCCCGCAAGTTTTGTACCAGGTCTGTCTGTCTGCCCGCGCCTCTAGGCTGGAGCCACTGCCGCCGTCCTCCTTCTTTCCATGAACGATTCAACCGATACATAACCGCCTTCCATTCCGGTGGAGGTGGGCGTTCGCGTAGGCCTTGACCCAGTCACCCACCCAGCCTAGACGCAGGCTGAAGTGTACGCCTGGTTTGTTCCCGCCGCCACAGCTCCGTCTGTCACCCTGAGCTCAGCCTTGACGGCATCTCCAGCGCTCCCCGCAAGTTTTGTACCCGGTCTGCCCGCCCGCGCCTCTAGGGTGGCGCCACTGCCGCCGCCGTTCTCCTTCCCTCTTTCTATAAACGATTCGAACCGCGCGGCGCTCGGCGGCGGTAGTAGTCGAGGAGGGCAAGGGAACGCCCAGCGCGCGCGCGAGGTCCGTCGGGTGTGGAAGGAAGAACCCTCTCATCCTCATCCTCATCGTCGTCGTCGTCGTCGCTCTCTTCCTCTTCCTTCTGCCATCTTCTCCTAGCGGGGACATCAACCCGCGGCTAGTACTCGAGCTCGGGTTCCGGCGAGGAGCGACGGAAGTCGTCCAGGTCGCGGTAACCCCGACTGGAGCCAGCCGGCCGGGGGTCAGAAGGCGGCGGGAGCTGGGCGGGGACGAACGGCGCGGCGCTCCACGGCGGTAGAGTTGAGGAGGGCAAGGGAGCCCCCAGCGCGCGAGGTCCTTCGGGTGCGGAAGGAAGAACGGCGGTAGGAGAACGGCGGGCAGCTATGCGTATTGTTAGCAGTCTAAGCATTTTAGGGAGGGCCTTTAAGCTGTGTACCAGGTCTGTCTGCCCGCGCGCGCCTCTGGGGTGGAGCCTCTGCCGCCGTTCTCCTTCTTTCTATGAACGACTCGAACGGCGCGGCGCTCGGCGGCGGTAGTCGTAGTCGAGGAGGGTAAGGGAGCCCCCAGAGCGCGAGGTGCTTCGGGTGCGGCAGGAAGAACGGCGGTAGGAGAACGGCGGGCAGCTATGCGTATTGTTAGCAGTCTGAGCATTTTAGGGAGGGCCCTTTAAGCTGTGTACCAGGTCTGTCTGCCCGCGCCTCTGGGGTGGAGCCTCTGCCGCCGTTCTCCTTCTTTCTATGAACGATTCGAACGGCGCGGCGCTCGGCAGCGGTAGTCGTAGTCGAGGAGGGCAAGGGAGCTGGGCGGGGACGAACGTCGCGGCGCTCCACGGCGGTAGTCGAGGAGGGCAAGGGAACCCCCAGCGTCGCGAGGTCCTCCGGGTGCGGAAGGAAGAACGGCGGTAGGAGAACGCCGCGCGGCTATGCGTATTGTTAGCAGTCTGAGCATTTTAGGGAGGG